CAGCAAGAGGAAGGCTATAGTACAGCCAACGCTCTCGCCAACTGAGCTATGAAGCTCACCGCGGGGAGCCATGAGCTTAATCATACGTGGGTCAATTTTTCCGCCCAGCCTAGTGCAACCTAAAGGAATCCATCAATTCTGATACAGTAAGCTGACTGACCATGCAGGATTTCCTAAGCTCTGCCTGAGCAGTCAGCATACAGTAAAAGGAAAAACATGGCTATAATTTACAAACTGTCCACGTAACGTATTATTGAAGACTTCCACAACTTCATGGTAGATACATGAACATCAATTAGCGGTAAAGAGGCGCGACCGCCTGTCCGAAGTGGCCATGCATTCGCTTCAAACTGGGCACAAGTTTGTGTGGGAACAAACCCACATAGTAGATTCCTGTCTATGTAAGAAAGGCCGCGAAATTTTAGAGGCCATTAACTCTAACGAATCATGCATCAATGGGCATGTTGATTTGGATTCAATGTACGTCAATCTCAAAAAAAAAAGCCTGGAAAAAGCGCCTACCACCAAAACCTAGTACTGACCAAGTATGACAACTCATTATCGATTTTTGGCATGTTTAAAAGTGCGCACTGCTCTTTACACATTTCCCTCACGTTCGACGATGACCTGGTGTGCCAGCGTCGAAAATGTACAATAAAGTTCGTTCACGTTTCCCAAATAATCTTTTCTATCAAATTATATATCTTCGGATGCCTATTTTCATATTCATAGTTCTGTTTGTCCCAGCTAGATCGCAAGCAAGTCTTGTTTTCACTTTTAGATCAACTGGCAGCCTGTCCTTGTCGGTCTTTTTCTGCAGTTTATCCTTGGGCTTATCACGTTGCGCACAAAAGCCGGATACAACTTTTTCAAATTTCTCGGTGAAATGATGAGTACATTTCTGAAAAACACAGCTGAAGGGTCAGGTTTCGTATTTGGAGACCTGCCCCATTTCGGATTTACGGTAAGGCAGATTTGTTTATTGTGAAACAGTCACCAATTTCCCCCTATGGCCTCTTTGCGGACACGAACTAGATACTTGTTTAGTAGGCAGATGCGTTTCCTTACTTTTTAATAAGTGGCTCATATCACACTCATTGTCTTCACTTTGCAAATACTTGTGGAGTACGATGTGGTCTAGCCGGATGATAGACGGAATAACGTATCCCAATAGTTATAAGCTAGTAGATAGGATAAGGCGTGGAAGGCCAGAGTTTTAGGGATAATTTAATAAGGTTTAACAAGCGTAGAATATAAGTAATAAGCAACTGACTCCCAGACAAGTGAAGTCCAGCCATGAATGGGCCGGAGTCCAGAGGCGCAGTCCAGCAAGTAGATCATCGGGTCCAGACAACTACAACTGAACAGTAGATCGCCGGTTCTGGGAGTGAGTTAGCGTAAACAACCCCCCGCAGTAAGCTCCTGGCCTTGAGTTGTGGTTGGCGAGTGAAGCCAGACAAGGGGTGACCTTGAACGGAGGCTTTGATATTGTCTCTTGCTCACGCGCGCTGGTCATGCCAGACATGACCTGTCCCGACGGCGTCCGATGAAAACATGGCTAAGAAGTACAAGGTCGCTACATACTGACCAATCCACTAAATTGCTTGACCGCAAGTTATTAATAGGCGTAAAATGCATGTACGAAAGTCGGGCAAAAATTGTTCAACTTATATTTAAAGGTCCTACTACTATGTCTTCTTCTTCTTCTTCTTCTTCTTCTTCTTCTTCTTCTAATAAAAATCTATTAATTTTTTGGCAAATAGGAAATATGCCCCTCAATATGAGACCCAAAAATTAAGTGACTGTAAATTCGCTCCATGCCAAGGCAGCGAAGACCAGGTGTTTATCATTGATTAGAAAAAAATGATTCCCAGGGCATGTGAAAAAAGGGGAGAGTGTTTACTAGGCTACAGTTATGGCACGCGTGATCTATCGAGGAACCAATTTTACTTCTTTACACCAGATACTGACGGCTTATGCGTAAGCTCTCCAGAAGAAAGCTTCAGGTTGGGACTCTAGGCTCTTTTGTTTAGCTGACTTGCCCCCCTGCTGCCTTCTGATTGGTCAGTATCGTCTGCGTCTGTCAT